TTACTAATCCCGTTGAGGCAAAGAAAAGGCCTCACCTACTAGCAAGCATGTAAAAAGAAAGAACTGGAAAGGACCAAATATTCAATGATCATCATAGAGTTTATAACATACTCTGTGATGATATTACAAATGAGAATACTAACAAAATGGTAGAATAAAATGATAAAGGAATTAAAATGTTGTCCCTTCTTGTATGAACTTGTAATTTCTTCAATTTGTAACTCTTTTTTATCACAAGCCCAGTTCTTCAAGATGTATTCAAAATTCATGATTTCTTTTTTGAAAGATTGGACTTTGTAGATGTAGTTGGGGCGGCCTTCTTTTGTTTGGCAACTCTCATTGGAAGTCGCCTAATATTTAAAAAATCACTAACCTTGTCGTCCCAACTATTTTTCCTTGTATGAGTCTTCTTGCCTTTGCCGCTATGCATAGGTGATAAATCTCTTTTTCTTACGGCCTCTGCTCTGCATTGTTGTATCATTGCATCTTCCTCTCCTTCTTCAAAAATTTCTCTCCCCACATTCACAGATTGTGGAGCATTTTGGACGATGTCTATTGTCACCAATGCAGATTGCCCCTTTGTATTTGTCACCATTGCCTTGCTTTGATGTTGTTCAGTTTTTTGCAGCTTATTCCTGCTCTTACTCACAGGACCAGTGCTATAGCAGTTGGATTTACAGGAGTTAACGAAGTAGAACTCACCATTGCATCCAAAAGCTTTCTCTGCTCCTCTGAAATAACTGGGACAGTTGTAACGATTTGATTCTGTCCAGATTGCACTGCTGTGACTTCTCGATCACCTTTAGTACTAGCTGTTGGACTAACCTTCGTTGTAGGTGTTGTTGCATGTGTACTGGTTATCACATCTTGGAGTTGCCCAGTTTTTTGTGGAACTGTTGTATTTCGATCATCTGTAGGATTATTATTTGAGGAGTTGGGATCACTTTGTTGCTGCTGCACAGTAACTGTAGGTGCTCCTGTTGCTGCATTTTGCATACCAGAATTTGAGTAACTTCTGGGAACAAAAGCAGGAGTGTTGAGGTTCAGATTACTCTTGGCACTTGCTGCTCGTACTTGTCCAAGTTTTTTCATAGCCATTATATCAATCTCTTCCCCTGCACTATCACGATCAACCTCCTTATCAGCCTCTTCTGAAGAATAACCAACGAAACCATCGCCCCAATCCTCTTCATCGTCATCCTCATGCTGCTCTTGCCAAAGCTTGGATTTGATAGCCATCAACCTCAGATTTGACTGTATCACCTCGTTATTATTCCCCGTTGACAACATGAGCTGCCCAGATTCACCTTCAAACTCCCCAGAAGATTCCACTGATTGCGAGGGGATTTCAAAAACTGAGGTGTTTAGAGTGACAAATGGTTGTTTAATAATATTGGGGTTCATCATCATTGCATTTTGTTTAACAATATGATAATAGGCGAAATCTAGGTGATTTAGCTATTGTTTATGCTTCCGCTTGATTATATTCCAATGACATATTATGGTTAATTGATGAAAAATAGCCTTTAATTGTGATATGTATACATTGCAGGACGAGGAGCCTGTATGATGCTTTCAAGAGGATATTGGAATGATTTATGAGCAAGAACAACCTCTCGGAGTTGAGTGCGCGCAAGGACGAGATGAGAAAATGGATGAAATCAAGCTCCTGGTGCGCGAAGAAACGCACAAAGGCGCGCAGGAGTTCGCGCGTAAGAAAGGCCGAGGCGGAATCATGCACGAAGAAACGCGCGAAGTTATACGTGAGTTCGCGCGTGTCCGGTCTGAAAAGACGTTATTTAGGAGTAAAATTGGAAATCTGCAGAGAAACCCACTTAACCTATATAAAGTCAAGCTCGCCCATGGTTAAATCATCAAGGGTTTTCATAGTTTAGTGCGAGAAATAGAGAGGCAAGAGGCAAGGAAGAGTTTTGACCATCAAGTTCTTATTTTCTTCTCTTGTTTTTGCTATTTTGTGATGAAATTGAACTTATTTGGGATGAACACTAGTATGAGTGGCTAAGACCCATTGTTCTGGGGTCATGGGTAAAACATGAATGTTGTTGTTTGGAGTTTAATTTGACAAAGTGGGTTTATCATATTGGGTTGTTTATTTAATTCTGCGTTCAATTATTTTGCTGAGTAGCTAACAGTGAAATACTATCTACGAATCTTTAGTTGAACTCGAAAGTGGGAACTTTAGATTGCATATAGAATTAAATAGAGCAAGTTCTTGAACCCGGGTCTCGGGGAACAGATTCGCAATTGGGATAGACATATACCCAATTGCCTTGCTTGGTTGAAATACAGGAATTGTAAATGCGTTCTTGTTAATCTTAATTCCATAGACATATAGGCATTGAGTTGACTTGAATAGGCGAGTAAGAACTCGACAGATTCTTATGAGTAATATCAACCCTGTCAATCAATAACCCAGATAAATTGATTAGTCATTCTAAGCCAAGAACACAACACGATTGTTAACTATGCCCGTGACCCTGGAATATCCTCTCCTACTGTTTGTTACTCGAAATTGCTATTTGTTTGGTTACTTGCTTTAGTTAGATTAATTCTTTATAGTTTAAGTAGTAAAACAATTACATATCTCTTTTGTGAACAATCTCTTGGGTAGATACAGAAATTGAGTTTGAATAAGTCAACAGTTAATCATAAGTCTTCGTGGGAACGATACTCTACTCACTACTCTATTACTTGACGATCACGTGCACTTGCGTGAGTGTTTTTGGTCGCGACAAAGTACACATGCAAGCAACATAAAATTCTATATTTCTTTACAATTAACTAGTTCTTGAACTCATGTATATAAAATTTTCTATTGTCAATTATCATACAGTACTAGTAGGTAAGAATTGGATAGTTAATTTTCTTCTTTATTTGTATCAACAGTAAGTTGAATGTTTAGGTGTGAAACTTTGAAATTAATTAGAATATACTGCTTGTTCTAGAATCGGTTATTTGATGGTTCTAAATTGGACTGGAGCCTATGTATTGACTCGAGGAGTTTTGAGGTGAGTTGATATAACCCTTTACTAAAGTAGTTTAACTCACAAAAGCACACATATAAGGTGTTTGATGAATTACTTAAAAGAGTTAATATGTACTTGATTGGAGCAAGTGAGTACCTATTAAATTAGAATTGTTCTAGCTAAAGTTTAAAAAATTTATTCTGATATATGTGCATAAATTTTCAGATTTTTATGTTATTCTTATATGTCGTTTTCATGAAAAAAATTCTTTAGAAATACTTTTGAATGTTTATATCATTCTTATGTCGTGCTTTGCATTTAAAGATACCAATATGAGTATGTATAAGTTGTTCCAGAAAAGATTTAGACTTGAATGGTCAAGAAAGTTGAGAAGCTGATTTAGACTCTAGCGAGGTCACACAGAAAATTTTACAAAAGTATTTTTGGGAGTATCCTCTATTATGAGAAGGGGTCATCGTCCACACCGAGGGTCCTGACCAAGTCGTTGACTTCCTGAAACAACTTGTGCCAAAGTAGGGAGCACACGAGCCAAGGGTCTCGTCGCTGAGAATTAGCCTAGCCAGGGTAAGGTTTACATGAGTATTGAGAACCATGAAGTGAGAGGCACATCGTGGATTGAGCCTATTTGATCAGGTTGGGATCGAACCCGTACTGATTATACGGTGACTAAGATAGAAATAAGCCAGGATAGTTGGAACTCCCGAAGCATAAAGTGAAGTATTTAATAGATAAGAAAGAAAAAGGAAATAATTGCTTTTAGAATATTCATAAATTGTTGTTATGCAATTATTTTAGAATTGTTCTTAGAAGCTTTATGTTTATCATGCATTTAGAATTTTTGCTTGTAAGTATATTTATTAAAGTTTTGCTCCCTGCTTTAGTTGTGTGGGG